ATTAGGGCTGTGCGATTATTCGATTACTCGAGCAAGTTGGTTAATCAGTTATTCGGTTAATCAATTACTCGAGTAATCAAGATTTTGATTACTCAAAACGATGATTAATCGAGTTACTTGAAATATGATTACTCAAAAAAATTAATTTTGCTCGTTAAAAGAGTTTGCTTTGGAAAATGCTTATTTTCTTTTTTATATTCTGTATATGAAAAAAATATGTATGTATGTATGTATTTCCCTTTTATTTTTGAAAACGGAAACGATTTTTTCAAAGTATCAAGGAACTTCAACTGCTTTATATGTATGTATGTAAAGAGTACTTTGAAATGTTCATTACTCATTTTATTCATAATGTTGATTAATCATAAAGCAAATTACTCAAATATTTTTGTTTTTGGTTAATCAAAATCTTGATTACTCGAGTAACTGAACATTTGAGTAATCATAATTTCCAATTAATCGAATAATTGAGTTATTTACTTTATGATTAATTAAAATTTTGAATAATCAATTAATCGCACAGCCCTAATTATTATACTTAGGATGTCACCAAATATCAAAATCGAATAGAATATACATATGTATAACAACAATACAACAAGTAATTTTTAGCAAAAAAACTAGCTTAAAAATATATATATATATTTATATATATTTCATGATCCAATGATCGGATCTAAACCAGATTAGTATGGGAGCACCTCTGAGACACTACCTTTCCGATGCAAAAAGAATTATTGAAATCGGTTGACGTTGTCCAAAGTTATGCGGTAACATACATAAAAAAAAAAAATATTCCGACGAACTGAAAACCTCCTTTTTTGGAAGTCGGTTGAAAAGAAATGATTCAGGCACTACGTATAGATGATTTTGAGGAAATTGTGGATATAGCTCATCTCGCCTTATTATAGCTTTGTACTTTATTTTTAATAAATTAATAATGAATTTATTAATTGCGCAGACCTATTGCAAAATGTGTTAATACAAATATGTTTTAAAAGTATACGCAAAATTGTTGGTTATAAGTTATTTGTGTTATTTATTATTGCCCTGAAGGTATTACATTCTTTTTGCTTTAAAAAACTATTCTATAACAAGGTGTAATTTTGAAAAAAATAAATAAAAAATTGTTAGGTCGATTTCATGCGATTTTTTTTTTTAAGAAATTGCGCTTTTTTATTTAAACAATCTGGACACCCTGTCTATAATTCAGAAATGGAGAATGCGTTACGGGTAAATATTAACATTATAAATAAATAAATAAATATTCGGTGCTTACACTTTTGCTAAGTGCTTGGCCGAGCATCTTCACTAAATTGTGATTGATCTTATAACGTAAATGGAGAGACCTACAATTTTATGCCGCCCCGGAAGGTCAAATGAATTGTATGAGAAGCTTTTTCAGGGCGTAATTACACTCGGAGGTTTGTCATTGCCTGCCGGGGGCGACCGCTCGGAGCAAGGATAGAAGCCAGGTCCTACGAAGTGGTAGTATGCACCTCTAACCACTCGGCTACAGCACTTTGCTAAGTACACTAAAATACCACAATAACACAAATTGAACGGTTTCAGAATACTATTCCAATATTTCATTACACTTTTACAAGAACCTCAAATTTTAGCAAAATGTGAATAAATTTTTCCGAAGGCATGTATACCCACTGAAATATTGGCGCTAACTTTAACCATAAAAGGTATAGATATGAAATTCTTTCTTTTGCTTTTCATTTTTCTTACACTTTCATTTTCTTCTTCACGTTCAATTGCTCTCATTGTGATCGTTCGCCTTTGGGCTAGCTCTTCTAAATAATCACAAAATACTCAGCGATTTTTTCACATGCGCGCATTTAACAGAATTTTCCTTTCTAAATTATAACAATTAGCATAATTTAACGAAAGCAGTAAAAATTATGCACCCAAATTGAGTTAGTGCAGATTAGGCACGAACTTTTTGAATTCGTGAATAAACACTGTTATCTGTGTATGTTTAACAGTCAACGTTATCGGCAGAAATATTTGTTCTGCTGCACTTGAAAGTGTGAGAGGGTTGGTTGTGGCGGTGAGGTGAATCATGGGGCCCAGGCCCATAAAATGTTCAGAACGCTTATTTCTCCTATTGCGAGAATTTTGAAGAATATTTTCTTTTATTATTTCGGCTTTTAAATGAGCGAAGATAATTGCAAAAAAATTAATATCATCGAATGGATATGCAAATCGATTTTATAAGAGAGCAATTTCAGTTGCCATAGATTGGTGAGAAAACGCTATTTCTCTCTTCTTTACTGAAGCACTGAGCATAAAAAATAGTTAAACAAATAATAGAGGAACAACTCAAATGTATAGCGGCGTTCACGATATTAATATGAAAGTATGCGCATAAATAAGCAGCAGAAATATTTATATGCAAAATTGCAATGTGTGCAAAAGCGGCGAATCGAATAAAAAGTCGAATAAATAGACGTTGTGAATGAATGTGGCAACTTACCGTAAATTCACCGGTGACCGCATCAAAGCCCACATGCACGGTATGCTCGAAATTAGTGGGATATGAAATATTCGGCTTGGAGTCTGTATGCGAGGGCTTTGAGCCTTTTATCTTATTCTTCAGTGTCTTTTTCTTGCGATCGGGATCATCGGGTTCTGCGTACGGCCGTGTAATAAGTAAATGAAAAGTGATTGAATGTTCGAAAGCTTTCCACTAGGCAAATAACATTCGCACTTACCTTTGGGCAATGGACGCATGTCGACGGGTGGGACATCGCCACCGCCGCTACCACCGCCAACACCACCACTTGTATTTAGGCTGCCACCGCCAACGCGATCTCCACCACGGTTGCTGGTCAAACGCACGG